ATGTATATATCTTAACCAATCCCCTAATTCATCCCACCCCCACTTTCTCCCTTGGTATACATAGGTTTGTCCTCTATGTCTATGTCTCTCTTTCTGCCTTGTAAATAAGATCATCTATGCCAATTTTTTTTCAAATTCCACATATATGCATTAATATACAATATTTGATTTTCTGATTTGCTTAACTCTGTATGTGAACTGTCTTACTTTTTTCCTGTTTTCAAAACACAATCAACTTTTCAACTTCCCTTTTTTAGCAATTTCTAGCAAACAGTCTTAGTCCTTGGAACTCAAAGAGTTACAAGTGTATGTCTTCAGAATTGAATATTTCCCTATTTGGAGAATGTTTGCTTTTTTCGTTATTTAAATACTGATTCTTCAAATCAATGTCTCTTCTTTCTAATGACATAGTTAAAATAATTAAAGGAAAGCTGTCCCAATAACCAAGAGGCGAAGTTTTAAAGGAAATTAAAGTTGAGTACAATGTCCCAACTACATTCTCAGAAAGCTATAAGAAACACCAGTTTATGTAGCACCAATAAAGGCAGTACTGGTTTTTTCTTTTACCAGTGATGAATGACCAGAGTTCTTTGTTCTAGAAGTGATGACCCCAGTTTAATCTCAGTATTACCCCTTCTCCTTCGGAGATGGAGGGAAGCATCTTGCATCCATGACAAAATGTGACACTTAGCTAATTGGGATGGTTTTGATGATGCCACAATTCTGCCCCAAAGCCTTATAACTAGCAAGTTTGCCATGAAGATTATTGAATTACTCCACTAACCATGCATTATTTAAAAGGAAGTGCTATAATTATAGAAGCCAGCTGTTTAATCATTGGAATTCTGTCTGTTGGCCAACTTTCAGGATAGAGGAGAGCACTGTGATGGTACTTTGTGTCAGCTTATGAAAGACTCAGGCCTAGTCAGGTGGTAGCCAACTTGTCTGCTAAGCAGCCTTTGGTCTGCATGCTCTGGAGCAAATCTACTGAAAAATAAATACATAAATACATAGATTTCCAAAGTCAGTACTTCATCAGCAAGGAAAATTCTGTGAAATTCTTTACATACTTGTTCACTCTAACAGTTGAGGAAGTATATGGATCCTTCATAAAAATGTTGACGTAACAGGACTCTGGGAGTATACTTAGTTGTAGAAAATATTTATTATCCCAGTCACCTGTTTTTTGTTATAGTATGGAGTACAGAAAAATGGTTTGAGCATCTTCAGGAACTCAAGTGATAAATAGAAAACAAATTTTAACCTTCTAACTTAGAAAATATTTGGACCTCCTTCTTGAAGACAATGTAAGTGGCTTCCAATCATACTGAATGTTTAGTTGGCCTCGATGAGTCTTCTCCATTTCTTTATATATTGCAGAATGTTTGGAATAGAAGGACCATAGCAGTCAGACACTGTTCAATATAGGAATATGCTCCTAGGATCTCTAACAGGTATTCATACAGCCTTTACATCACTGATTCCAACAATGGGACATTCATTACCTTTAAAAGAAGTCAGTCCCATTTTTTAACACTTTTGAGTTCAAATTGTTAAACATTTTTTTCGTATATTAATACAACATTTGTTTCCTGTTCACCTAACAATTTTGCCCACTGGAGCACAATTATTGATAACAAGTGCTTATGAGGAGTTTTTAAAGATAAGAATTCCTTTAAAACAGTTCATTCCATCTCATTTAAAAATTGCCCATACTGACAATAGGTGCAATTCTGAGATCATTAAAAATCTCTACTTTTCTCAAAACTGATATTGTTGCAAATAATTTTACTGCTTTCCTGGAAAACCACATTGCATCAGGCTCCTAGTTCTAGCCCATAGCAACAAATATCTTTACTTTGGTTCTGGACAAATAAGAAATATGAGGCATTTGAAGATAAAGAGAAAAACTTTGATCCTCTAACTCTGGCCTCTCAATTGGTGAGAAATTTTTTGTTGTTGTTATTAAATATCTTGATGTAGAACAAGAAATCAAGTCTATAAGATACTTCAAAGGATCAATTAAACTTTAAAAGGCAAGGTAAACACTTGTTATATTCATATATTTTCAATGAAGTACAATTAGTCCATTGTAGACATTATGAATAGACAAAGCATCTTTCTAGGACTGCAGTGGTTAGAGATAACTGGTAGTTACATTTATGGCAAAATCCAAGTCTGTAATATTTCAACAATATTAAAAAACAGATATAGACATAAGGTAAACTTTCTTTTTAGAGCATTACAGAAGAGTCCTAAATTTCTCTGTTCCTAAATTCACTGATCTATGGACTAAAAAGCACAGCTATTTTATAGACTGGGCCATGTCAAACTCTGAGCTCATCTAAGAGGTGACAAACCAGATGCCTGGTGTGTGCTATTATTTTTTGCTGTGCTGATGATTACCTTCTGTCTCACAAGAGGAAATAGACCTGTGGTGAGTTTCATGCCTGTCGACAGTCACAAAGAAGGGAATATGCACTATACACAACGTTTAATGTTATTCTCAGATGAAGGTTAGAGTCTTCCTCCAGTGGCACGCAAGGAGCTCCAGAACCTATGAAGTGTCAGGAGGAAGCAGAAGGGATACTTAAAACAGAGGTGCTAAGTAGGTCCTAGGATCACAGAGATTATCCTTCCCCATCTTCAACACATAAGGATGAATTTTGAAATTAGTCATTTATAAATTAGCCAAGTTTGAAGGTTTCTGAAACCACTCCTGCCACTTTACCTCTAAACCTCAAATTACCATTCCAAATTCAACAAGTGAACCTCAGTTATAGCCCATTAAGAAATACATTGTTTCAGAAGAAAGCAATTATTACCTGTGGTGGATGATGGGGACAGTTACCTCAAAGTAGACTGAGTCACCTTCCCCTCTCTCCCTCCCCAAGAGAAAACCAAAGTGTATCAGCTACTTTCCACTGGCTGACTGCTTCAGCCTCTTGAAATGGCCACTGAGCTAAAAGTATGTAGAAGTCCTTTGTGGATCACAAAGAACCATGTAAGCACATTTTTGTCCTTAATTTATAGTTACAGGAAAATATTATATAAACAAACAAATAAAACAACAGCAAAAAAGCATTGTTTACATTGCTCAAGGGACCAGCTGAGTCCTGGTTTGCCCCGGCTGGTGAGCAGAGGCAGAGTCTTCTGCGCTGGGCAAACCTCCGATGGCAAGTGAGAGCACCAGTGAGGTTCCAGCTGGGCACAGCTGCAGGTCCCTTCCAAATCCCTCAGCCATGAGGGGCCCACGGGGTTTGCCTTGAGCAAAAGCAGCACACCCCACCCAGAGAGACCACAATGGAACCCTCGCTGAGTTTCTATCCCCAGCTGCCCTAAGAATGACAATAAACCTGCCTTAAAGGGAGGAGGGATCCTCGTGTTCTAGTGCCAAGCATCAGGAACACATTTGGGTTCTCAGAAGATTCCACGAATGGCTGGCCCCTCGGGCTGCAAGGCGGCCAAACTAGTTTGGTAGCAGGCCATGACCGTGGGTCTGATTTCCTTCAACTAGGGAGTTCAAAATATATATGGGGATTTTGACTCTCAAAACTCCATCCTGAAGTACAGCATCATTACACGAATGTAAGAATTTTGTTTAAAATATAATGCTGTCTTCTGTGTCAGGAATTGAGATTGGACATACATCACATTTGGATCCTTCTGGGTCAATGGTTCACAGATTTTCTTCCATGAAGCTTGGACATCAGTGAAGAAGACTGAGGCCCTCCACCTCCCAAGGGAGGAAAATGAGGCAGAGAAAGTCAAGATCCATAGCTTTCTTGCATAAGCCATGGCAGTTTCACTTTTGTCTCTTTTGTATACTGATGTATAAATAAGATTTGGTGTAACAAAAGTCCTACTATGACAAAAAGTTTACAAAGAATTCAAGTACGTTTTTAATTTAGTTTCATATAAACTTGTTTTGCCCTCTTTTTAATTCTAGAGCCAGGGAAAGTGTGTCCAAGTCAAAACAAAACAAAATAGAATGAAACTAAAACCTACTTGCCAAGTAAAGAGGCCTAATTGATTTGCAAATATCAAAAGAAATTTGATTCATGGTGTTCCCTCTGGGCAATCAAAATCAAATGAGAGGTGGACATTTAGTTCATTCTTAGTCTAGTGATCATTCTACAAGAAAACAGAGCTGATGGTTCTGGTCCCTCTAAGGTGATAGGAGAAGTCCTATCACACTGGTATTGTTATCAGTTCAAGTTGTAAAGCTTCTGGATGCAGTCAGTAGCAATGCTGTCTCTTCACAGACCCTATATGATTCTAGAAAGTGATGCTCAAAGCAAGCTAACGTATATTTAGGATCCACTAGGTGTCAAGTGATGCACTTAGTACTTTTCATACAGTATGCCATGTAATCCTCAAGCGATGATTAGAAAGGACATATTAACTCTCCTTTATAAACGGGTAAACTGAGGCCCAGGAAACTTGAATGACTTGTCATTTGAGTATGTCATTCCCAACCCTGAGTCTAGGTTTCCACATCAGTTAAGTGATGAGACCTTCCCAGACTTAAAACCTCTTTGATTTTCAGTGGAATGTTATAATGGAAACAGATAAGACAAAGAACAAACATTGGAGCCATCCTGTGCACGAAAACCATGCAGATTTGCTAAAAAGATTAAAAAAATGGAAAACATGATCTTTTAATTAATATTCTTAGCAGCCTCCCAATTAAGCCAATATATAAGGAGAGTGAGGCTTGGGCATAGAGAGATCCTTGACTACAGGTGGCTAAGAATTTGAGGACAATTAATACAAATAAATGAATGACGAATGAGCTGTTGCCGATGAGCGTGGCACTGACTGCTGGAGACATACTGGAATCTGGAACAATCTGGGAGGGTCAGGAGTTGTTGGAGGAGCTTCAAAAGAAGACTAACTTATAAAGGTGTGGGAGAGGAGTGTTCGGGGGCTGGGTGTCGCGGTGAGCCCGGCGCGTCACCCCGCTCTAAGGCTACGCCCTCTGTGTTTGATCTGAACAGACAAGCCCACGGGATACGGGTCGAGCAGTCGGCGGGCGCCCCAGACAGGAATCGTGGATGAGTGCTGCTTCCGGAGCTGTGATCTGAGGAGGCTGGAGATGTACTGCGCGCCTCTCAAGCCCGCCAAGGCGGCCCGCTCAGTCCGTGCCCAGCGCCACACCGACATGCCCAAGGCTCAGAAGGTAAGCCCGCCGGGGGTGGCGGGGAGGGTCGGCCAGCTTCGCCAGAGCGGAGTGATGCGGCTGAGCCTGTAGCAGCCGAATAGTAATTCACACCCTCATAGACTTCTGGCTCATAGGGTCAAAAGAGCTCCATTGTAAATTCCATCACTCCCCATGGTAAATTCTCCCTTCCACTGCTGTGGCCCATCTGATCACCAGAAGATGGTGGAGAAGAGTGACTAAACCTGGGCTTTGGCATCAGACAAAACTGACATCCTAGCTTTGCCAATCACCAGCTGAGAACCGGTGGCCAAATAATGTAGCCTCCCAAGCCTTTGCTGATGAAACCATCAGTAAAGATGGGATAGCAGTACCAGTTACCTCATCAGGTCATTAATGTACATGCAATGCTGTCCACACTCCTGCACAAAGTAAGTGTCAGACAAGTTTTAAGTTCTGTCATAATTGTATGAACAAAGCATGTGACCTTTCAAGTGCTGGTATTCTGTAAACATGCAAAGAAAAATAACACTCTAAAACTGGAACTAATAGAAATTCACATTTAGTGGCAAACACAAAGAAAAAAAATAGAAATTTCAGTTTGGCTCTAAGAACAGCAAGAAAATTCTAATGATCAAAATCTGCAGGTGTCTGTTACTAAGAGCAAGACTTTAAACAAGCCTTAGAGGTACTGTCTATGCCATCAAAAATATGTAAATCATCTGATGCACATTGATCACTTGATAAACCTTTGTTGAGTGAGTGAATGAATGGGTGAACAAATGTATGTAAGTGCTTACATTTTCGTCACGAAGTAGAAAAAATGAGAACTAAAGAGGTGAAGAAAATGAGGAAGAATGAGTAAAGAAAGTTAAATGCTCTCAGACTTCCCTGGGGACTCTTTTGAAAAAAACCAACTAGTGGTTTTAATCTTTGGAGTCAAAACTAGCATCATGCAGAGGGCAGGTGATAAGAGATCAAGAAGTTCATAATAGCACCCTTGCGGCTTCCTGGTCCTCATTTGCAGCTGAGGCTGGAACAGGGGCCTCAACAGAGATGTTACCCCAGGGAGCCACCCTGAGTGATGGAAGGGACTGGGCACAGTCTGATTCAGAGAGAACACAGGAGCCCGTCGATGTGTCAGGGAGCAAGCCCCACATACCTTTCAGGTGAATGTGACTGGGAAGTGTGCTCAAGGTGAGCAGAGGCAGGTTAAATCTTTCTCATTCCAGGTGACCCCATGCCTTTCAATTTCTACTTTGGGAGGGGGTGGGTGGTGTCAGAGATGAGTCCCTAAGTTCTGGAATGGCAGGTTTAATAGTGACTGAGGTCCAGACACCTCTCCAGCACCAGTGCTGTCTTCTGCATCTATGGAGCCAAGGCATTCAAAGGCTCTGTCTTCTGGGACACCACGGGGACCACCTGTTCTCAATGCAATTATTTTTGTGATGTTTACAGTATCAGCCCCCATCTACCAACAAGAAAATGAAGTCTCAGAGGAGAAGGAAAGGTGGGCCAAAGAAACACCCAGGAGGGGAACAGAAGGAGGGGACGGAAGCAAGTCAGCAGATGAAAGGGAAGATGAAAGAGCAGAGGAGAGAGACTGGAGCTAGGAACTGAACACAGGCAAGAAAGGAACATGGAGGAAAGAAAGACTAAGACAGAGATGAGGAGCATGAGAGAGAAGCAGACGGCAAGAGAGAAAAGTGGGAGATGCTATAAAGGAAATGAAGAAAAGTAGGCCAGCTGGAGCTAGAGAACGCATGGGACAGAAGGAAGAAAAGAAACCTGTTGTAGGAAGTGCCTGATAAACATGGAGAAATGGAAAAGTAACATATAATGCCTGCGAAAATCCAAACAAAGACAGTGGCAAGAATGAAAACATGAACAAAAATTACAAAAGAGGGAAATAAAGCAATATTCCCTTCCCCACAGAAAAACAAGCATTAAAATAAAAATCAAGGTTTTTATATGCATTTAAATTTTTTGTGTGTATTTTACAGGAATTTCCACGTCAATAAATGTCCAGAGTTAAATGTTAACCCCAATTTTCAGCAAAATTGAATTGTGTCATAAACATCCCCAGATTTCCTTCCCTACGGTGTGACTGGAGGCCGCATTTCTTAGTCAAGCTCGGGCCAAAGGGCACCCAGTATTTGCCTAAAGGCCTGTGAGGCCTGAGAGCTTACCTATGAAAGGAGGTCACTGAACTTTTTGTGTGTGCACTTTGGAATCAGATATGAAAGATGTATTAATGTTCTGGGGCTGCCAGAATAAGGTACCACACCACAGACTAGGTGGCTTACACAACAGAAATTCGTTTTCACACATTCCTGGAGGCTGGAAGTACAAAGTCAGAGCACTGGCAGGATCAGTTCCTTCTGGGAGCTGCGAGTGAAGGATCTGTTTCAGGTCTCTTTCTTCCACTTGGAACTGGCCTTCTTTCCCCTGTGTTTTCACATCATCTTCCCTCTGTACAAATCTCTGTGCCCAGATTTCCTCTTCTTATAAGGACACTAGTTACATTGGATTAAAATGATCATGATCTTATTTTCACTTAAGTTATCTGTGTAAAGACCCCATCTCCAAATACAGTAACATTCTGAAGTACTAGGGGTTAGGACTTCAACTTGTGAATTTGGGGCGGGGGTGGGGGGGGACACAAGTCAGCCCCAAACCAAAGACTCCTGATGTCTCACTACTGCCCTATGATTCTATCACCTATAATCTCTCTCTCTTATGCACCCCTCCCCCCTCACACACCCCCCCCACTAGATATTTAGACCTGAAATCCTATGAGTTTATGTTCCATGAAATACCAGGACCGTGTTATGTTAGGGCTGCAAAAGGACTCAAATCATTTGCTTCAATCCCTTCATTTTAAAGATAAGGATACTGAGATCTATAAATGGCTGAAGGATGGCTGAAACGGCTGAAAATGGCTTGGTTTCTAAGCCACACCCTCTTTCTGGCCAGGAGAAAGCAGCACAAAATCAACATGGACTAAGAAAGAATTCCAAAAGGAAAAGATGGGAGCGAATGAGAACAAAAGCACTCAGTTTTCTTGAGGGTAAAGAAACGCCAGGTAGAATCACAGAATTTGAGCCTTAGAGACTTTTCTCCTTCAGTTTCCTTGATTTAAGCAGTAGGGTTAGTATCTTCATAGATAATAAAGCAAAAAGTCTCAAGATCATTCAAATTGCGAATTATACGAGCTAAGGGAGGGTGCAAGAGAGAAGTGCTCAGCCAAGCAAATGACGGCACAGGGTAAGAAGATGATAAGCCAAGAAGTGAAGCATTTCATCCAAATAGCCCTCTTGGAAGATGTCAAGGTATAAAGGAACATCCTTTCTACCTGTCCTTCTTGCCCCAGCCATGCTTTCTACTTCAGGATCATCCTTTGTCCATGGTTCACTGAAAACGCAGGATATATGATATATAGATATGTCCAAGTCTCAAGCCAGGAGGAAAAAGTTTGATCACAAGCTTGTCAGAGTATCATATGAGAGCCAAGACACTTCTGTTGTGGTTGCAAAGTGGGTCCTGGCTTATCAGAACAGATAAGAGCCAGGCTGGAGCCTGAGCCCATCTGGCCAGCTACCTTCTTCAGGAGACTCCCAGTTCTCCTGCTATTACATCTATGGTTTGGAACCAGCCTCAGATATAAGCCTCAAGCATAAGCCAACACCTACTGTTTCTGCCACCTGAAATGGCTTTTCAAGGGACCACAGTTTGGCAGAAAAGTAACAGTCAATGTCCTGTGGGATTTCTTAGAGGATTATCCCTTCCCTTTTTCATTGATGGTTGGATCAATGCCATTGTAACACAGGGATAAATGACAATTATACCCAATAATGAACTTCATTCAAGAAAAAAGGCAAAGACTTTAAAAGGAAAAGAAAGCAATAGAACTTTCCAGTTAAAGAATGCTTCACCATCAGACTATTAGTTAAAACCCTGCTTCCTGGTGGCTCAGATGGTAAAACATCTGCCTGCATTGCGGGAGACTGGGTTCAATCCCTGGGTCAGGAAGATCCCCTGGACAAGGAAATGGCAACCTACTCCAGTACTCTTGCCTGGAAAATTCCATGGATGGAGGAATCTGGTGGGCTACAGTCCATGGGGCTGCAAAGAGTCGGACACAACTGAGCGACTTCACTTTCTTTCTTTTTGTAATGGGTTATATTAACTCTAAAGCAGTCATCTTGAATGCCTACATGTGATTTCTAAATAACATAAATTAAGTAAACAGAAAGAATCTATTGCTGTCTTTCATCTCCTCCCTTCTACTGTTAAAACAAGCACTAGTGATACATGGGATATAACAATGAATGAAAGGATGGATGGACAAATGAGTGAGATAGGGAGGGGAAGAGTGGTAGGGAAATAGACCATAAAAGTTAAGTAGCACTGTATATGTATTAGATGTTCAGTCATGTCTGACTCTTAGCAAACCCGTGGACTGTAGCCCACCAGGCTCCTCTGTCCATAGAATTCTCCAGGCAAGAATACCGGAGTGGGTAGCTATTCCCTTCTCCCGGGGATCTTCCCAACCCAGGGATGAAACCTAGGGTTCTTGCGTTGCAGGTGGATTCTTTATCGCCTGAGCCAGCAGGGAAGCACTGCTGAGATGAAATAATTCCTCTCGTCCTTGCCTAAGACAGTGATGCAAGTGCAGAGTAAAAGAGGGAAGGCAGAGGAGCTGTGCTTGCACACGTTTTGCATGTTTGGAATTTGCTGTACTCAAGCCAAAATTGAATTCATTCAAGGACTTATTGCTAAAGGTGGAAACCAGCTGAGTACTTTATAGTGAATGTTATGTTCCCTATTCATCCCCTCAATGCTTTCTTGAAGTAAGCAGAGTATTCATAATAATTTAAAAGCCCTCTGTTTCAACTGCTTCTTTTAGAGCAAATTGATGATTGTGTGTAAAACTAACAGGAATATGTAAGGACTCATGATCCTTAAATTGTTGAAAAATATTTTTACTGAGTACCCACGATATGGAAACCTCTGTACAA